GCTGAGAGGCCGGCAAGTGAGGCGGGGAACGTTGGAGTCCGCAGCAAGCAAGCCTCATGCTCGCTTCAGTGCCTGGCTGCCGGCCGCCATCTTGGCTGACAGTTCATTTGCATATACTCACTGATTAGCCAATGAAAAGGGTAGCGGTCATACGCTAATTACCATGTTTCTCTTTTATTAGTGTAGAAAAGCCTAGGTGGTGTTGCGAGACGCCCTCGTGCGATGTCATCACAAGATGGCCACCACAAGATGGCCGGCAGGAGAGGGCAGTTGTGGACGATCAGGCCTGCAGGGGAGGGCAGTTGGGGGGGACCAGGCCAGAAGGGGAGGACAGTTGGGGGCCATCAGGCCAGCAGGGGAGAGCAGTTGGGTTCGACCGGGCCGGCAGGGGAGGGCAGTTAGGGGCAACCAGGCTAGCAAAAGACAGTTGGGGGTCATCAGGCCAGCAGGGGAGGGCAGTTGGGGGCCACTAGGCTGGCAGGAGAGGATAGTTGGGGGCCACCAGGCTGGCAGGGGAGGTCAGTTGGGGGCAATTGGGCAGGCAGGGGAGCAGTGAGGCATCAATCAGACCAGCAGGGGACTGGTTAGGGGGTAATCAGGCTGGCAGGCCGAAGCAGTTAGGAGCCAGCAGTCCCAGATTGTGAGTTGGACATCATCCAAGAAGTCCCAGATTGGAGAGGGTGCAGGCCGGGCTGAGGGACACCTCTCCCACACACCTCACACACCCCGCCCCCCGCACCAAGCACAAATTTTGTGCACCGGGCCTCTAGTCCTATATAATAGAGGGAATATGCAAATTGAGTCACTCTGCCACAAAGATGGCTGCACCCACAGTGGAGGCTAATTTCCCATAATGAGCCTTAACGAGCAATCAGCAGGGACCTGAAGCTGCGACCCCCCACCCCTGCCCCTGTGGGGCTTGACAGGGGACCTCAGGCCATGCCCACCACCCTGGCGCCAGGCCAGGGGACCTCAGGCTGCACCCTCTCCCCTGGCAGGGCTTGACGAGGGACCTCAGGCTGCACCCCCTGTCCTGGCGCCAGACCAGGGGACCTGAGGCCGTGCCCCCTACTCGGAGGGGCTTGACAGGGGACCTCAAGGTGTGCCCCCCTGCCCTAGTGCTGGGCCAGGGGACCTCAGGCCACATCCCCCCAGCGGGGCTTGACGGGGGACCTGAGGCTGTGCCCCCCTCCCAGTGCCAGGCCACAGGACCTGAGGCTGCGCCCCCCGCCTGGTGGGGATTGACGGGGGGACCTCAGGCCACCTCCCCTGCCCAGTGGGGCTTAACAAGGGTGGGACCAGCCAGGTCTGGATCTAGCCCAATGTGGGGGGGCGGGGCGGGTGCTGGGTTTCGTGCAATTCCAAGGCACATGTGGGTGGGCGGGGACTTGACTCGAGTCCTGTGGTGTGCCCAACTCTGACAGGAGGAAGATTTTCATATATATTTTACTAATTCTTTCACCTCTGACACTTCTATTATAAAGGGCATATAGCAATATTAAAATATTTCCTCTAATTAATCCCCTTTTAATATGCACGAATTTTGTGCACCAGGCCACTAGTATCAGTATAAAAGGGTTGTCAGGTTGAAAACCAAAGCTTGTTCTGTGACCTGGTCTAGATTGGAGACAGAGAACCAAGGTTTGACTGTACTTCCTTACTCACGGAATGGAGAGGAAGCAAGAAAAGCCAGAGCTAAGGAAACAGACACTGAGACGTGGTAGGCTGGGTATGTGTTCTAAAGCCAGCTCTGCCTAAGCTGGCAGTATTTTCACATCAGGAACAGGAGCCTGTCTAGGGCCAGGTTGGGAGGGAGGTGAGCGCAGGGGCAGGGCCAAGCACTGAAGCAAGACGAAGGCAAAGGCCCGGTAGAAGCCAGTTCCTGGTGGCAGTTGGGCAGCTGGCAGCTCCCAGCCTCACCCGCCATGGTCCTCCTCCTGCCCTGGCTCTCGCGGTGTTGCGTTCGTTGCCTCCTCCTGCCTTCCAGGCTGCTGGCCCCTGGCAGCTCCCAGAGATGCTGCTCCCAGAGACCCAAGCCAAGCACAAAGGAGCAGGCCAGCTCCACCGGCAGCGGGAAGAGGTCCCCCACCGCAGTAAGTGGCACCAAGAGTGAGGGTGGGAGGTGAGGGGAGATGTGTGCTGGGGAATCCCCAATCTCATCCTGTACCACAGGCCTAGAGCAGATACCAACCCAGACCCCTCAAGTCTGTTGCCCAGTTCCAATTCTCAGCTTCCCAGTATGCTCCCCACCCCCACTCCTCCAGACCTCAGGGCTTACTCCCAGCTTGCAGTCCACTGTCCTTGAGCAGGCATTTCCCCTCATTAAGTTAATGATTTCTGGGTGGTGGGGGAAGGGGCAGGCAGTCTTTCCTCCCTTGTCCTTAGAGCCCCTGAGCCAGTGATCTCTATCTGCCCTACCTCGTGCTTACCAAGAGGCCAATGGCTAAGACAGGAAGCTACTCTTAAACGAATGGTGTCACAAACTGGAGGCAGAATTCCTGACTCCCAGCCAGCCTCAGCCCCCTGCCGTGGCTGATGTTACCCTCCTCACATCCCTCCCCTAGGGTCCTGGGCTCCCTGCTGAGCTAGCCCAGGCGGAGGAGCTGCTGGAGCAGCAGCTGGAGCTGGCCCAGGCCCTGCAGGAAGGGCAGGAGGGGGCCTGGGAGGCCCAGGCCCTGGTGCTCAAGACCCAGAAGCTGAAGGAGCAGATGAGGAGACTCCGAGAGAGCCTGGGAGGAGGAACCTAGGCTGCTCTGGTGCCCACCTCACCTCCACACGGGAAACACTGCGCACCACCTGCCTGGAGACGGCTGGAGACACACCAGCCTCCCTCGGGCCACTAAGAAAAACAGAAGACCCCTCCAGAGGGCCAGGCTGGAGAGCAGCGGAAACCATGACCCCTGCAGTCGTCTTAGCCACGTGCCCCCACCGTGACCCCTCCTGCCGACAACCTTGGCCCCACATAACCTCACCCCAAATTCAATAAAAGGAGCACTTAGACACCACAGACGCATGTTTTTTGTTTTGTTAAAAAAAGTTCTCACAAATAAGGAAACGGATTTAGAAGTGGTGATGTAAAAGAGGGAAGGCATGGGGTGGGGCTGGGCTGCCAGGGGTAGGGGCAGTAGTGTCTCCTTCACCCCCACGCCTGGTGTCATCTCCTGAAGAGGGACAGACGATCACATTCCAGAACAGGCGATGTGTCCTCTATCGTGTCTGTTCAACTGAAAAGAAAATATGGCGGTTAGAATACGACAGGAGAGCCCGGCTGGTGTGGCTCAGTGGTTGAGCACAGACATATGAACCCGGAGGTCACAGTTCGATTTCCAGTCAGGGCCCTGGGGTTGCAGATCCCCAGTGTGAGGGGTGCAGGAGGCAGCCTATGAATGATTCTCTCTCATCACTGATGTTTCTCTCTCTCTCCCCCTTCCTTTCTGAAATCAATATATATTTAAAAAAAAAAAAAGAGTAACACACGAGAAAGAGGTGAGGTTGGCAGAAACACGTGCTCATACACGCAGATGTCTGTGTAGTGTCTGGTCTAAAGAGCAGACTTGGGGGAGTGAAGAGATCCCAAGTAGACGTGAACTAAACATCCCAACAGGGCGTCGTGTTCAGGGGGCATGAGCTAGTCAGGTGCCCATTATGTAGGGGCTTTACCCACATGATGGGATTTAAGCCAAACACAGCAAGGACCAAGGAGAATTACACGTGGTGGGGGAGCTGGTCCGTGTGATCAATACTCACTGTAGGAGGAGATGTCTATCTCATCAGGCAGCTCACTAATATTGACCTCAAAGCGATCCTGCACATCATTGAGGATCTTGGCATCATTCTCATCTGACACAAACGTGATGGCCAAACCCTTGGTACCAAACCGGCCTGCTCTGGCCACCTGGAGGGAGACAGAAGGTAGGACAGGAAGACCCAAAAGAAGACAACACCCGAGAGGGATGAAGATGTATGCCACGAAGACAGGAAATATGGGGCGGGCGAGGTCACTGAATAGCCAGAGGGTGCGGGGCTTACCCGATGCAGGTAGGTGTCGGAGTCCTCAGGCATGTCATAATTAAAGGCAATGTTCACCCTCTCGATGTCCATGCCTCGGCCAAACAGGTTGGTAGCCACAAGAATTCGTCGTTGAAAATCTTTAAATTGCTGATACCGAGAAAGCCTTTGTGAGAAAGGAAATTAGAAAACAATGAATCCTTTCTCTCAAGTCTCTTCCTCCCAAGAACACAAAATATCTTCCCCATTTCCAACTCGCCTCTCCTCCTGGGGCATCCCTCGGTGGATGGCGATGGCTGGGAAGTTCTGCTCCACCAGGAGCTGGGCCAGGGCGATGCAGCGCTGCACAGACTTCACAAAGATCACCACCTGTGTGTGCGTGTGTGTGTGATGTAGGTCCATGCGAGTGTGAGGTTGTATGAAAAAGGAGTTTTCAGTCATTACTCTTCTAAAGGAATTCCTCAGTCCCTAGCATGTTTCCTCTTCTGCTCTAAATGTAACTTACCCCAAGTCTAGATAAATTTTATTGCAAATAAACTAAATAATAGCCCTGGCTGGTTTGGCTCAGTGGGTAGTATCGGCCTGTGGACTGAAGGGTCCTGGGCTCGATCCTGGTCAAGGGCACATGCCCGGGTTGCGGGCTTTATCCCCAGTGTGGGGCGTGCAGGAGGCAGCCAATCAATGATTCTCATCACTGTTTCTCTCTCTCCCTCTCCGAAATAATAAAAAAAACACCACACACAAAAAAATATCCTACATAGAGGTAAAGTGATGAAACACATCTCCTCAGTAAATAGTACACGAAAAACAAATTTAAAAACCTAAAAGGATGATCAAGACATTTCGGAACCATTACAACCTTATTAAAACCCTTTAAGGATTTTATTTTGAGGTTTGCTTTCATGTACTAAGTACCTGTCTGTGCCAGCAATGGAACAGAACAGCAGTTCCCACCTTGCCTGTGCTCAGCCCCAAGACATATATCTTTAAAAGAATTTCATGCCCAGCCAGCATGGCTCAGTGGTTGAGCATTGACCTATGAACCAGGAGGTTACGGTTTGATTCCCAGTCAGGGCACATGCCCAGGTTGCGGGCTCAATCCTGTGTTGGGGGTGCAGGAAACAGCCCATCCATGATTCTCTCTCATCACTGATGTTCCTCTCTATCCCTCTCCCTTCCTCTCTGAAATCAATAAAAATATATTTAAAAAAAAATTTTTTTCTCTTAAGCCCTGGCCTGGAGGCTCAGTCGGCTGGAGCACTGTCCAGTACACCAAAGGAAAGGTTGTGATTCGATTCCCAGGTAGGTTACAGGTACGATCCCTGGCTGCAGCGCACACAGCGAGGCAACAAATTGATGTCTCTCTCTCTCTCTCTCTCGTCAACGAAAATATCCTCAGGTAAAGACTTAAAAGATTTCACTTGAGAGAATGTCTCCACCATCCTCTTGCATCACCTATGTGGTTTCCTCTACAACCGGGTACTGAGCACAGATCTCAGCTACAGTTGGAGACGTGCTCATCCTCCCATTGGACCTGGAACAACTGACCTGGTTGAACTCAAGGACATCCAAAAGGTCAAAGAGCTTCCGGTTCTTCTCGTTGTCCTTCAGTTTCACGTAGTACTGCTGCAACCCGTGCAGCGTCAGCTTCGTCTCATCATCCACGAAGATCTCCATTGGCTGAGGGGGAGGGGGGAGGTAGGGGGGGGGAACGGGAGGAGGGCAGAGTGGGGGGGTTAAACCTGGGGGGGTGGAGGAAGTTGATCTCCAATACACCCCATGGGGGGAATGGGGAGAAGAGAAGACTGAAAACTTCACCCCGCTCCCAAAAACATGCCCATTTTCACAAGGTCTCTTCCACCTTTCACCTAATTTCCTCCCTATCAATGGAGTTCTAAGAATGCCCAACTGAAAACTGTCAGAGGAAGGAACTTTGCAGGGAGGGAAAGGAGCAGAGAAACCACCCCACGGCAAGATGCCATGACCTCAAATGGAGGCGGGGAAAGAAAAGTCAGTAGATTCTCAAAGGGAAACACAATCCTAACACCTGGGAAAGCAGGGAAACACTGACTGGACGTCAAAATTCCATCCAAGCAAGTGTAAGAATGCGGGGAGGACAAGGACCGCTCCACGAGTGCTCCCTCTGCTGGGAGTCACATCCTCGTAAAGAGGATGGGAACCCTCGATGGACATGAGCAACATGCCATGAAAGGAGAAGCAACGATTCAAACTGAGAAACCACTTGCCCTCAACCACAAGGGCACAGCTCCAGATGAGCCTGGTCTCTGAGCGATGACTCAGCCATCGGCAGTGTCACAGGAAGGCATCAGTAAGTGGTGCCAAGAAATCAGAGTTGCCCGGCTCAGGGGTTGAGGGTCGACCTACGAGCCAGGAGGTCGACGTTCGATTCCCGGTCAGGGCACATGCCTGGGGTTGCAGGCTCAATCCCCGGACAGCTGATCAATGATTCTCTCTCATCATTCATGTTTCTCTCTCTCTCTGAAATCAATAAAATATTTTTTAAAAGAAATTCAGAGCTGCAGATATGCACTTATGTTTTTACCCTTGAAGGGGAGGAAGATAACATTAAAAAAGACAATTTTTTAAAATAAAATAAAAAAATTTTTAAAGATAGAAATTGAGACAAAACCCAACTCTAGAGCCCAAATTTCCTAGCACTCTTCACTACCTTGGGAGCATAAACATTAAGACCCAGGGTCCAAGATTTTGGGAAAGGGTGTGTGTCACAGGAGACAGCCAGAAGCCAGTCGCAGAGGAAGGCTTTCCAAAAAGAGGTTCTGTGGCCTCCAAACTCACTGCAGCCCAAGTCCAGCTACAGACAAGGAGCTCTCATCCCATGGGAGGAGCAGAGCAGGGAGGCAAAGGACACACTCCACTGCGTACACGGCGGGCCGCCTACCCAATCCCTAACCCACCTGGTTACATCAAGTGGAGCGCTTCACTGTACCCTTCCCCTCTCCCGAGCATTACACAGAAGGGGAAAATCTACCACCCCATCCAGGACACTCCTCCCCACCCGACACGTATGGGGGAAACAAGGAGCACGGCACGCCTTGGTTCAGGAAAAAAACCGGGAACAGAAAAAGAGGCTGGTTTGGTCCTCAGCTTCCTGGTCAGGTTTCCCCGCGGCCTCCGCTGCCGCCATCCACGCCGGTGCCGTCTGAATTCCCCCGCTGCGCCTCAGTGCTTCTCTCTGCTGCTGGCTCATGGCTCACATCAACCGAGGTTCCACGTGGGTGCGAGGAGGTTCGGGTGGGAAGGCGTAGGGGATCGGGGATTGAGGTGCCAAAGGCCCCCACCCCTGGAGGTGGGGAGGGAGCGGATTCATTTGTGCTGTTTGCTCTTCGTTTGCACATGCCTTGCCATCTGTCTGTCCCTCTCTTGCTCTCCTGCCACCGGGAGGTTACGAGTTTTGGGGAGCAGAAGGCTCCAGTTGTATGCTCGATGCCACCTTGAGGGTGCGTGGCTGTAGGGGATGTGTAGGAGACGATGGGTGGGTGGTAGGGCAGAAAACCCTGCCCTCCCCCAAAAGGGAGAAGAGGTTCAAAAATGCTGTGATTAAAAAAAAAAAAGTCGAACACTACCCGCTCTCACGTTAACCCGACCAAGTCTTCCGGAATTTCCCTGGCACCCGCGCAGACCCTAACGCTAGCTGTCTCTGCCTCTGTGCGTCTCTTCAAGGAGCCATCACTCCCAGATGGGCGCGTGCCCTTCTTGGTGCTTGAAGGACAGGGAGTCTGGAGGGAGCGGGCCCGCAGGGGAGGAGGCAGTGGGCGGGAGTGGAGGGAGAGAAGGGAGAAGGTATTTACGTCTTGCATGA